GCAGTTTTTGGATGTGATGGATACATCGATTTTTATGTGGATAAGTTGGACTGGGCAATAGAGCTTTTGAGAGATGGCAAGGATATGGCTGAGCATAGTAGGAGGTTTGAACCTGCAGAATATGAAGAGATTGTTAGATATGCAAAAGTATAGCTATTATCGATATTCGCGGTGAATCAAAGAAGGTTCGAAAACTGCAGAAGGATTTCATACATATATCATACTCCGAAAAGCTCGGCATACGACTCGCATACATATAATTTACATATAAAATTTAAGCTCGAGAGCCGGCTCGTTAGGAGCCCTAGCGTTCAAGCTAGAATGTTTGGGCAAAGATCCTTTGACTGTTAAGATTCGAGATTAGCTGGGCATTTGTTAATATAATGTGCACATTCTTCATTGCAACTGCCCGATTATGATAAAACGTTTGTACACGTTGCATAAAGCCTTGTAGGCATATGTTTATTATTTTTCAATTGAGGATACATACAACTAAAAAATTGATGAGGAATCACTCGAGCCCTAACCCATAAAATGAGAGTTCCTTCCCGCTACTCTGAATTATTAGAAACTATATTTGCTTTGCTATCGATCCAAGCACCTACAAAAATAATAATCTTTGTATTAACATGACAAATCATTTTCATGAGCATTAATAAAATGTTTTCTTGTAACAAGTCTAACTCCATTATAATATCCCCTTTCTCTTATAACCAGAATTGTGAAATTAAAACAAATTGCAAAAGAAAATGCTAAAAATACAAAATTAAGATTTAGATCGGAATTATGAATTGGAATAGAATTCAAAAAGCAGGACTTACAAGGTAATGATGATCAGGCGAAATTATTGTTTTAAGATACATTAGCTCCACGTTTGCCTATAGAATAAATGAAAAAGTTAGCTGCAAAAAATATATAAATCTAGGTCAGACAAATATATCAACTGATATGCCAACAGGCAACGTTCGCGATCACAGCAACCCAGTCCACAGCGGTATGTCATATAACATTCGTTGAGGAACACTAAGGGGACTTAGACTGCAACGGCAAATGCATATCAAAATCTAACATCAAATGGTAATGGGCAATGTCTGGGATCACAGCAACCCAGTCCACAACTGTATGTCATATATAACATTCGTTGAGGAACACTAAGGGGACTTAGGCTGCAACGGCAGACACATATCAAGAAGCTTCGGTAGGAGATGTAAAGATGTGGTTGCAAAGTATAAAAAAATGAAAAATTCGATTACCACTTTCATTCAGGTTGCACCAGAAGAAGGAAATGGAAAAGGTATGATTCACCAGTAAGCTCATTCTCGGACTCTTTTTGCCTTGATTGGCGAAGAGTCACCTTCAAAAACTCTCTTACTCCTTGCCAAGGCCCTGATTTGGTGAAACTTTAATTTGCTGGTTTCCACTCTTATCTGTAAGCAATGCAAGTATTGATAAGAAAGCTCGAGCAACTCTGAAGATAAAACAAATACATACCTTGAATGAATAAACAATTCTTATTGCATATAATAGTTCTGTATGCCACTACCCTCTCTTCCCTCAAATGACGGTAAACAAAATTCCCCTAACAAATACGAACACATGAGATATCTGGAGGCCTGGAAACAGCCCCAGAATTGAAAAAGATTTCCCATCCCTCTTATTCCAAAGAATTCAAGTTCACCAATTTTATTTTTTGCTTCTTCTGGCAATGTAGGAGCTTGCATCGCAGACATCGTTGAAAATCCTTTAAGCAATACATCCAGATCCTCAAGATTGTTTTTGTTTTCAGCTTCATGCTGAGCACCAAAGCCACCTTTCAACTCAACCCAAACGTTTTCAAATCCTTCATCATCGTCAAGTCCATCTACACGAGTCTTTGCTTTTATTTTCGGAGACATCAATGCTTTCTTGTAATTAGCGACAAGCTTTTCTGCATTGGATTCAATTTCACCAGGTTTTACTGGACTCACTGGCACGAGAAGACGAGACGCTAACTGTGTTTTTACCCATTGTTCCTTCATTTCCTTGAAAAAGGTACCGTCTTGCCATTGTGCGATTCTACAATAAAAACTGTTATTATACGATATAGCAAAAGGTGAAGATAAGGATGATACTTACACCCATTTTATCAGCTCGGCTGCCCACAAAATACCTCGCAATCGTTTGTCCAATATATCAGAAGGAAGAGATATTGGCCATTTCCTTTCCAGCGATGTTAGGGTCCGACAATCGGCAAATCCTTTAAGATATAAAACTAATCGTATTCGCTTCACAATTTCAAGAATTTTTGTGGTGTTCTCTTCAGTATCACACAAACTGTATATCAAGTTTAAGTTGCCTTGTTCTAAAAGCTTCTTTTTGTTTTCTTCAAACATATCCACCAGCTTTTTTTCGTCACCCTCCGTATAAAACGCGTTTTTCAACTTATGTTTCGTTAAAAATGGGACTATTACATTATCCCAGTGCTCATCACTTATCTGCGATGTACACTCCGTATCCGAAAAGTTAAAGTGACCGCGTCCAAGTATACTAGATGAATAATAGCATAATATGTTAATCAAATCCCACCAAGTAATTCTTACTGAAAAAAATGTTTTGAGACAAACCTAGTCCCCTTCAGATTATTACTTAAGACTATACCATCCATCATCCAGTCTTCCCCCATACATGAATATTCGGCATGGAGAGGAAGCTCATTAAGATACTCTTTGGTATTTGTATTGTTGCTATTTTCGATTTTGGCAGGAAGTGTGCTTGATGTGGCCTCATCTTGCCCGTCATTTTCTTCTGAGTGATCTCCTTTCCCCAATTCTTTCTCCAAATGACCAAGGACATTTTTGTGGACGATTTCGGTCGCCATATCTAGTCTTTTATTCACCATGCTTAAAGTTGTCTCTGTGCTTATCTTCTCTTTCACCTTTCTCTCTTTTCGCATAAAATAAAGCTCCACATTATTATTCTTAAAGAAATCATTCCGTGTCAAAAATACCTTCGCATAACCGCCAAGTTTAGGATCGTCACGTAGCGCTTCTAGTGTCTTCTGAAGTGCTTCTATGCCTTCCGACAAGGCGATGTAACCGAAATACGAGTAAAAGTTTTTCGCGACTAATGTTCTCTCAGTTAGGTGCTGACAAACATATTGACTCCGTCCATTGTAGTGTGGTAGTGGTTTATGTCGTGCCTAGATATAAACAAAAAATATCGGCGCGTCTACTTAATATGGGGTTTTGAAAAAAAGGGGTATAAGGTAAAAGCAGTGATATACATGTATCACTGGGGTGCTCGATATACTATGTAAATAAAAATTTATTATTAGATTTTTTGTGTACAAATAATGTCGATCACTAATTTTATATAATTATGGTGCGGGAAATTATAACTCGACAATCACGTGATTCTGTTTCAATTTTCTGGTGGCGATCCAAAGTCACGTTTA